AGAGAAGAATGATTACTTTTTATTTTTGCTTTTTCTTCTTCCTTTTTTTTTCTTTTTTAAAACACGTGCCAAGCTCTGTGGAAGTTAAAGGCCTTCCTTAATTTGTACTTTGCAAAGAAGCACAAATTCCAAGGGCCCAGTTGCAAAGTATACAGAATCGTGGCCGGTTTGGAGCCTGTTGGCTAGACTTGTACAATCTGCACGCTGGAAGATTACCCATGCTGTTTTGTTACATGAAAGCATGGCTGGGGCATGAATTCCTGAAGTAGGTAAAGTTAAGCATTTTTAAGTGGAAATTCTTAGTAGAAGTCTTTATGTCCATTTTGAAAACAGCTGAAGCTAAGAAAAATGAAGACTACTGTGCTTCTGAATTTTAATATAAAGTACAAGCTAACTTGTAGTTTCACTACAGTATTTTCAGTTAATAGATCCATACTCATCTGCTCATTTCCTGTCCCTCCTCCCCTCCCCTCGCTCTGTTATGCAGGACCAGGCTCAAGAAGAAAATCCGCTAAATGGAGACCTCCTTCAAAACCAAAACATTCAGAGGTATGAAAATCAAGTGGCTTTTGTGTTTTATTATTAGTTTATTAAGAAATGATTATTTGAAATAGTAGATTTTCTTGCAGCATGTACAAACAGGTTCTTTCAATCCGCATAAATTTCAAGCCCAAGTATACTCTGTTTATCAAAATCATTGCCATTTTTTTTCTTTGCTGTGTTGATAGACCAGGATCATAGTGAGAAGAAGAAAACACTTACATCTTCAGTTTGATGTACAGAAAATAAGACTTAAATTATCTTGGATTTAAAAATCTGCTTTTTAATAATCGATTGACTTGAGATGGTAGATGAACTTCTGAGTCTCTTCTTGGCCATAGGAATATCATAGTTCTGCACATGTGGAAGTTTTTGTGTTGGTATAGGTGATTGCTTCAAGATTCTTTTGTTTAGTGTTGGAACATGTACTTTACTTAGTGCAATGGAACAAAATTTCTACCAGAAGACATTTTATTCCTTTAAAATTTCTTTAATACTGAGGAGCCATTATGTGACTTCACCCTTTCAAGGACTAGATCTACCACCACTGGTGTCTTGATTTCTTATGAATCTTAGAACTAATGTAACAAAGCAAGCAATTAGGAGGGCTGTGTCCCATCAAGACAGGTTCAGGTTGGCATTAGTTGGGAAAGGATACAAAATAAAACTCCCAAAGCCATGCTTATGCTCAGGTGAGGAAAGGAATGTAATACATGACAACAGCTACTTTTTCTAAAGATGATTTCAGTTATGTTGTGATTATTTCACAATGTATGATCTAGTATTATCTTTATCAGCGCTTTACTCAATGACCACGCTCATCTCTCTTCAGAAGTCCATGACTGTTAAGAATGAATCTGGGTGAAGAATTCTTGCTGCACACCTTTGCCCATGATTTTATACTCGGAATCTTCAAAGTTATGGGTAACAATAAAAATGAGAAGAGTAGAGGAACTTTGAGCTGCCAAACCGATATAAGGCATAATAGGTGACACTTTACAGTAGTTTTTAAGTGTTTTCCAAGAATGCCCAAGTGCATGGAGCTCAGGTATAAGATGCTTACGAAATACATTCTGCAAAAATCTATGAGCTGTAATATTTTTGCATTGGCTGAATCTTAAATGCCTGCTGTAACTAGCTCTTTAGGGTGTATTGTGGTGATTCAGCTTGCAGATGATATAATAAATACTAAGGCAGCATGGCTTATTTTATACTAATTGCTGTATATTGCCCCTCTCTGCTTATATCTAAGCAAACAATAGAAGTAAAAGAGAAACATTCAGCTTCTATTGATTATAAAAAGAAGCTGGCAATTCTGGAGCAGTTTTGGAACCCTGAAGTATTTCCTCATTGTTGCCCAAATCTTTAAAGTTGTGCTCTACTCCTTTTTTAAGTAATCAGTAACACTTAGATATCCCCATTACTGGAATGTGCAGCAAAGGACAAACCTGTCCTTTCAGTCTGCTGTGCTGTGCTGTGCCGTGTTCCTTGCTTCAAGTAAACAGGAAGTAAGAAAGATTTAAATTCTGGCTTCTGTCTGCTAAAAGAAATAGCAGTTTGCCTGAAAAATGCTAACACATCATAAAGTATTTGTTCTCATTCTGTAGCCATTTAATATAGTACAGGCTGAATACTTGTGCTTATGATATAGTCTCCCCTATTATCCTGTCCCGAGTATGTGTGTAGTTTTTTTTTTTTAAAAAAAGAAAAAGGAAATTTATCCTGTATTTATTTATCTGTGCAAAAGAAAAACATGGCGTGAATGCATTAAAATTTCCAAATGTTTTATCTTGCAGAAGTAAATTACTACTTGCATCTCTTATACCCAGTTACGCTTATTTGTGTACTTATATGATTTTCCACAAGAGGGAAGAGTAGTCCTTCATAATGAGAGATTGTTTAGAGTAACATCTTGTGGCTTACTTGGCTAGTCAAGAGATAGGAAAGGAAGTCAATCACTGAAAGAAAACACTACAGATATTTCTTTAATATGGTGTCTGTTACAATGATGATAACATTGTACGCGCTATACCCAAATTAAGCTTTTTTACCTTTCATCTTGACTGGATTGCTAGCTAGCGCTTCTTGTGGTTTCTCTTGGAGCTTCGTAGTCAGTCTTACACACCTGAACAAAAGGTGTTATCTCAAGGTAAAACAGTTATCTCTCTGATCTTCCAGTGCATATTTATTCCAAAGAGTGACTTTCAGGTTTCAGCCATCTGAATTAGCAAATGTGCAGTGTAGTTTATATTGTAACATAATATAAATAATGAGTGTGTAATGCATACTGAATAATAAGCCCATCCAAAAATCTGTGCAGAAACACTTGAAAAAGCTCCTATGCAAAGCATTTCTTGTAGCAATCAATCCTGCTACTTATGAGGGAAGGAGGCATTTGCAGTTAGTTACCTTTTTGGAAAATAATTACTTCACGTTTGTCAGTAGCCTGCAAATCTGACTTTAAATTCTTGGCTTGCAAGTTTACTTTGCAGTGGATTTAGCTGTGGTCATTCTAAAATCTCCTTGTGTAAAGTACATATATGTGTGTGTGTGTATGCATAGAGAGAGAGGTGTTTATATTTGGATTATGCCTTTCAGGAAAGGGACTATTTCAGCAAAATGAAGTATTGTAAATGTGTTTCACAGATACTTGCAGTTAATACGTTCTCCTTGTGTTCTTATTGTAGTAGCTGTAATAGTTTTAAAAAATCTGATCAAATTGATTAAAAAAAGAAGAAAAAATAATGAAGAATATTTGTGGATAAAAATGTCTTATTATGCCATGCAGAGCGTACACTGTACAGAACACACAAGCGCATGAAGAAAGATAGATGACTCGGTGATTACATGTTTCATGTTTGTTACAAGACAATATAGGGTAAACTTCGAAGCATGTGGAAATCCTTATTTTTCGATTGTGACTCCCTTGAAAAGTAGCGGCTTTGCAATGGATTATATGCCGGTATCCGCAAAAAAAGTTAAAATACTTTATAGGTGATTTAAGTGAAATTCTGCTACCTGCATCCATTGGCAAGACTGTTTTTCAAGGAGTTAAACTTCCATTATAAAATTCGCCCAAGCACTTTCCTTTCAGTTTGTGACAGACACTGAGCTGATCTTATATTTACCACTTCAATACATAAATATACTTAAATGTTGGACAGTTCTGTTGATATAACTGAAGTTTGTTTGATCTCAGTTTTGAGATTGAAAAAACGTGAATAAATTAAGTTGATGTGACAACCACACGTAAATATTTAAGTTTTAAATTATCCTCGCATTGAAAGTTCAAAGAGCCACATGAATTCTGCAATAAGAAGCCACAGGTTAAGCTAAATGTCTTAAATTATCAGTGCTGAGATAGTTATTTTCCATCTCTCAGAATTGTCACTACCTAATATATTGCATAGTAAACTATCAGGTTCCTGTGGGTTCTTCAATACAATTTTTTGAATCTGAATTTCCATGTTCTGAGGAAATAGTCTATGCACAAAAGGTAGGATACTATTAAACTTATTTGTTTTTAAGGGAACTTCCTTTAGCGCTGGCTGACTTACAGAACTGAGTAATTGCCTCAAAGCTGTGCCTCACTACTTTCGAACACATTCACTTCAGTGACAGAGATTTAATGAGAGAATGATCCTAAACTGCTATTTTAGATAGGTAAAAATCTATATAAATGCATATTTGAAAATGCAGTTTTTCTATAGCTGAATTGCTCTTAGTCATCCCAAAAATTGCTTGAGGTACTGAACATGTTAATCAGATAAACATGTTTTTGGTGAATATAAAGAGGAGTAAATGAATCTTCTGAGAAGTCTCATCTGTGATACTTATCTTTCATAAACGTGATCTGGTAGGATGTTAGGTATAAAAACTTACTATTTCATATTTAAGTTGAAGTAACTGGACTCATATTTCTTTAAAGAGAAATAAGTTAATTATTAATCAACATAAACATGGTGTTCAGTGAACCTTTGCTTAAGATTTTTACCAAGAAATGTATGAAGGTGCTGACTTATCTGATTTTATTCCTGATTATCTTACCAGCTAATAACCTGAAATTTCAATGTTGGATCAGTGCTGCCACTGCTAAATATATTTCTCATATTTTGCTATCTTATCATAAAATGAATTGGATCTCTAATTTTTATACTGTCTAATAAGGCAGTATATTAACATTAATTAGATTAATAGGAAATATTATATTAAATTAGTTTAACCTGGTCTCTGTGTGTGTAAGTTCAGTTTGGATCTCGGGTATCTAGTCTGAATTCATTGCAGCAAAGTGATGTCAAGAGTCAATACTAATTTTGATTGAATATTTAAGACTGATCGATTAACATGACTAGTATTATAACATGACAGTGTGTGATCATTTATCAGAAGCAAACCACCTTATTTACGGTCTAGTATCCATTTAATGTATGTTTAAAAAAAAAACCAAAAAAACAGTATTCCTTTGATATTACTAATTTTATTGGAAGATGGTTACTTTCAAATAATGAAGTTAGAGAATATACTTAATATTTCTTTCCATTTGGAGAACTTGAAATTATTAGTATTCTCTAGTATGTTAATATATACCATACGTTGTAACTAATAAAAAATGACGGTATATCTCAGGTAAAAACAACTTATTAACACTAAATGCTTAATAAGCCTTGGAACTGTTACTAGGCACGAGGATGCTTTAGAGATGGCACATACCTAACTTTAAACATTTTTTGTTTTGAAAGTGTGCAACAAGCATATTGGGAACTGAAGAGAGAAATGTCTAATTTGCACCTTGTGACTGAAATGCAAGCTGAGGTTCTACGAAAACTGAAAACAAACTCAACAGCGACCAAGAAAGGCAAGTCAGTGTTTGCAGGAATAGACCTTACAAATGCAAACGGTTGATTTAAGCTGTACCATTTTAAAAAGAAACTCGCTATCATATCTTATCAGAATCTCATCAATTGACGTTGATAAGCCAGACTATATTATGGTTCCAGCCTACCCATTTTCTGCTTTTGCTTCTTTCTCATACTGGTCAACTTCACACATAAAGGTGTTGCTGATGTGTTTTTTCTTCAGTACTGTATTCTGTTCCCCTTGTGGCTTTTTTCTCAGTCAAGTGTTGCTTATGCGCACAAGGCTGAGGTGTTAAGTTTACTCGTATTTGACCTTTTACCACGACTACTTCATATTTTAAAAAAAAAAAAAAAAAAAATTTTTTTTCTAACTGAGTCTTATTTTCCCAGTATAGGATATATAAAGTATTCATTTAGCAGCATTTTAAAACTAGATCTTAACAGACTGAAATTACCTTACAATTGCATATTTCTCTATGGTAGCATTCAGAAAACTTGTATTTTCTAGTAAAATGCTATGCAGGGTGACATTTTCTGAATGTCAGGCTACTGATGTTGCGAAACTGGTTTAATTCTGCTGCTACTTTGCAAATAATTAAGGGAAAAATGATAATTTCCACATAGTGCAAGCATGGTACATGATTGCAGTGAGCAGTTCATCAGATAGTTCTTCTGTTTCATATATATGTTTCGCTCAAGCCAAATGCTTTACAAGATATGGTTCTTAAATACTGAATTGTTGACTATCAACATTGGCCCCACAATATTATCTCCTTTGTTTTCTGCGCGTCTGAATTGTGGTATTTATTGTGTCCAGAATATAAGAGATGCTGGTTCAAGACACTGGATTTGGTTACTGTGTATATGGTGAGAGTGTCTTTCCTTACCCAGTACAAGATGAAGATACTGTGTTTCTAAATAGCTGTGGTTGGCTCAGAGCTAAGGCTAAGATTCACCTCCAGGTCAGTGATGGGCTTTGTGGCCAGCAGTGATTAATGATCACTGCCTGGTACTTGGCTGATAAACTATCAACGCGTCTTGTACACTTGGTCATGTTGTTACCAGGTGAGTCAGTGTTCCTACAGATATGATATAAGACACTTCTGTCAAATAATTTCTGTAGAGAAACTGGGAACTGAATGAGGTTTTTATTCCTTAAGTCTGCCAAGGTTTGTGATAATGTAAGATCTTGCTGTCTATATCTGTTTTTAATTTGGAATGGTATCTTTTATTGCATGAGTACTGATTTTTCTTTTACCTGGCAAATAGTCTATTTTTTTGCATTTACTAACGCACTTGTACATACACAGCTATTAAAGGAAATACTGATTGATGGGAAAGCCATGTTTCCCCCCCGCCCCTTTGGCTCTGTAGGATTTTTTCTTTTTTCTTTTTTTCCCAAAAGTACATAAGAGGTTTGTGGATTTAAGATGTGAATTAAAACTGTTTTTTGTTTACTTTGTTTATCAACCTCATTTAAAGGATGCAGTGCAGATGTTTCTGTAATGATAATGTAGAGGAAGAATCTTGGCTTGTGCAAAATATGGGATAGAACTGACTGTAAAATTTCCACTTCCTGTACCTGTACTACTAGCTATTTGAGGTTTTATCTTTACTGTATAGTAACTAGATCCCACTATAAATTTTTTTTTTTTTAAGTATTTGTAATCTTTTGAGGTGTGTAGAGTTAAACCAGTAGAACACAAAGTATTCATTGCTGTGTGATTGATGTTAAGATAGTATCAGTTACCATGTGGATTCTACTTAGAGGTCATTTACGTAAGAAGGCATTTTTCAGCAGATATGTATCATGGGTATCCACATGCTCATGGATTTTTGTTGCATTTTTCAAAGTCCTTTTCAACGGGGTATGTGAAACCTAGCCTTTTCTTTTTGTCTGATGCCTTGCAGTACTTCTTAACAGGTAGAGCATGAACAAATTTAAGATTGAAAACTACATACTACTTTGACTACTTGTATAAATTGTATCTCTTAAAGAATTTCAGGTATCTCAACAACTGAGACTGTAGAGAGAGGTTTTCTTTGTTTTGTTTTGTTTTTTTTTAGTACTTATCTGGAGCGTGTTTATATATTTGCTCAAGATATCCAGAAAAAGAGGCCATGGATTGCTCTTGCCCTTAGCTGGTAATACCTTGACAGCAGCAAATTTAATCTTGTTTTTACTGTTGAGCTCCCACAGTCTGTTATAGAGAAAAAGGGAGGGGCGGTTCTCTTTCAGAGTGGTAACTTAGAATGATCATTTAATCTGTCCAAGTACACACAAGTTGTCACAGTATTTAAGTTACTTGATCCTGGCCTGAACTGGCTCAATTAGACTGTTGAGGTAGAATTGTCAAGTGCAAGCCCTGGGTGCGCTGCTGGATGCATTTTCTTTTTTTGTGAAATTCTTACAATGCAGGTATTTCTTTTCTCATTTTCCATACAGGTTTCAGAGAAAAGTCTACATGCCTGCATAAGCATGTAACTCTTTTCCACAGAACTCCTCAAAGATGTCAGTACTGATTTGGCCTTCTGGCCATTGCTTCAAAACAAATAAAGATTGTGTATGCTGTGTGTAGCATACTTATAACGTAGGACAGCCTTGTTTAAGTGGCCGTATTTCTTTCCTATCAAAGAATCTTGTTTCAGTTCTTGGCCTGCTATCTTAGACAGCTCTTTAATTTGAACACCAGAAATATTTAATGTGAACTTTGACTAGTTTTAGCCTGAAAGCGCACTCAAATTAAATTATACCACTCTCTCACTCAAGGGGGCTGTAACGCCATACAGTTTTGAAGATGTGCAGCTTTGCTGCTGCAAATAGCCAAGGTGCTGGAAAGCTTAGTGTAACTATTAAGATATAAAATAAGTTTTACTCTCTGTAACGGATTAATTATGACTAGACTTTTCCAACTTTGATGCTAATATTGTAATTGGAATATATTACAGCAGATTCCATTTTTTCTTGAACTTTTAAAGATCCATAGACCTCAAATCGCTTTTTACACCTGTTAGCACAAAGAGGCCAAATCAGTCTCCTTAGCTTGTTCTTTCAGGTATGATGAACATGCTATTGGAAAATGCTTTTTGCTGACACTTGTAAACTGGGTACTCTCTTTTAATTTTTAGTGACAAGCTGAAGTTGCATACTTTGACCAAGAAAGTGGTTCCTCTTTGTGTCCCTTAACAACTAGTGTTAGGAAATAGAGTTCATACTCCAGATTCATAGCTATTCTATGAAACTTTCCATGAGGTGCAAATTTCTTTAACTGTAGGAATCATTTATCTACTCCATTACATGTTCATGTAAAGTATCACTACAAAAACCTGACTTAGGTATATGAGGCTATCGCTTCAGATTTGTGCTGGAGATGCAGATCTTTCATTTTGGGTAGGTGCTGTTTTCTTTCAAAGTCTTTCCCTTCTTAGCATGTTTTAAGACTCCCCTGGAATTTCAAATAGGTGAACATTGCAGTCTGTGCCTTTACTTTCAGAAGTCAGACTGCACTCTGAAACACAGAAAACCTGTGAATGCCATGCATTTCCCTCTTGTTCTTTCATGGACTGTGGGAATTCAGGTTCATGGCAGTCTGAGAAAGCAGCTTGTTAAAAAAATCAGTGAAATAGGAAGAAGCATGCTCTAAGCAAGCAATATACTGAATCTGGTCAGTTCTTCCAAGCATGTAGAAAATCATCCCTGTTTCAGCATTCATTCCATTCTTGTCAAAAAGATTCACCGTTTCATCTGTGTTTAAGCAGGAACTTGGAGGTTTCCTTGGTGTTGCATATATTTTAGACGTTGTGATTTTAGGATCTAGGGTTCACCTTGCAAAGTCTAACTGAGAGGGTTAGTATGTTCGGTTCACAACTTAAATACTGAAGTAAAACATGTTTTAAAAATTTGTAACTTGAAAACACTGGTTGTAACACATCTGCTATATGCAGTACATTCAGAGAATATACAAATGCTCTGTCTTCTATGCAAGTAACTGTTATTTTAATTTTTTTATCTTCTTTCTTTAGCTGCTTCATCTGCACCGGTACAGTGTGTTGAAGACTTGGAGAAGAACCTTACAAAGTTGCATTTGACTACATCTGGGGTAGTCTATAAAAAACCGTCTCTTTCGCAAAACGATCAAGTACTCTGCAATGCTATACCCCTCCCTCTGCTGAGAGATGTAAAAATCCCATCTGAAAGAGTGACTCTGCAAGCATGGACAGATGAGAGTCCTATTCCAGTTGATGGTAAAACATTTCAAGAACATCATTCTTATGGAAAGAGCTCTCTGGAAGATAATTCCTGGGTATTCCCAAGTCCTCCGAAGCCTAATGAGAATGTGTTTTGGGAAATGAAAAACAAGACATCGCTGTTAAACTGTCCAGCAGATTACCTGGATCAGTGTAATCAAAATTGCCTGCACAAGAGTTGAGCAATTTTTAGAATGAACTGAGGCATTTTTAGAGTGGTTCTGAATAGGCACCTTACTGCTGGAACTTTTTGAAGGGGGAAAACAATTGGTTGAAACATTCTTTTTTTTTTTTTTCCTTCTTTTTCTTCTTCTAGTTCCAAAACAGAAAGCCTAGTCTTTCTCTGCTGTAAATTAAGGAGCAAGTTCCTTGAAGTTAAAGCTGTGCTGGTATAATGTAAATGTAAACAAATCTAGCATGGGGCCTAGATTTTTTTTTTTTTTACTGCAAATGGCAGGCATTTGCAGAAAATTACACTGAAAAGTTAGTTCTTGGAATAAAACAATAATCCAGTTCTTTATTTGTTTGCTATTTTGTATATTCTCAAGAAAATAGTTGGTATCCTATGTTAAAACTTGTAACAGCTCTGAGCTAATTTTTTGACAGTGTTTTTTCTTGAATTAAGACAAGATAAAGAATTTGAGTATCTCTCCTTCCCTCCTTTCAATTATTTTCTGACTCCTCTGGTTTAGAAATACATTTTTGTGTGATTTTTATAAAGAAAAAAGTGAGATTTTTGTCAAAACTTTGATTTTATATTAGATAATGGCAAGGGAAAAAATACTCCTAGCCTAGGTTGCACCATTATAGGCCTTATTGTGAACTATAAAGGATCGTAGGTAATGCTGCTGAAAGTTATAAATCTTAGATGTTCAGCTTTCTCTCAGTTCATACTGAGGAAACTGATCTTATTCTACGCGCGATGGTGCCTGCCACAGAATCATCCTATTCACAATGCAGTTGTCTTTATTGTGCCTCCTTTGCACACCACCAGAACCTTGACATTTTATTTGTATGGTTGTTAAGGCTGCTAACTTTTCTTTCATTAAAGAAACAAAGCCTTAATTTAATCAGACTAGATGTTTTAGCATTGTTGATATATGTAAGAATAATTCTTGTGGCATCTTTAATATGCCACTGAAACTAATATTATTTGAATTGCAACTGCTTGCTTTATAGTTTGAATTTCCAAGTAGTACTTCTGCTTTTTCTCTTAAGCCAAGAACTTTTTTTAGACAAATACAATTTATGCTTATTTTTTTAAAAACTGCTCTGCTTAATATCTGGCTTAATGTAACAAGGTTAAGTGAAATGCCTTGACTGCTCAATACCTTGAAGGAAAATGCTGTGTATTTTAGATCTTTGATATCTAACTTATAAGGGGTGGGGAAGTTGATCAATACTGTTATTTACAGGTGTGTGGAGGGTGAAGCATTCAAATTCACAGGTTCAGCGTCAGTCTAATAAAAATTAATTTCACAGCTATTTAGTAGCAAATTATCTTAAAATTACTTGCAAATACATGGCAAAGTTATGACTGCAGCCTAGCCATATTAGTGATGGACTGTAAAAGTGTTATTTAACCTGAGGTGCTACATGATCTGTGTGGTTCTAGACACTTTCTTTCCTGTGGATTGAGTACTTCATATGATGCCCATCTTCTTGTGTTTGAGTTTGTCTATCAAAGTGGAAAGAATCTTTCAGATACCTTCCACTGTATTAGTGAACAGCATACATAAATAATGCTTCCCATTCACCACATACTGTTTTTTATCTTTCTATTATCTTGCTCACGTATACGGGCTTGTCTGTGATTAATGGAAATGGTATCAGATGCTGGAATTTATTCTGACCAATGAACACAGCTGACTCAGGGGAGTACAATCTCTTGGAAAGTAATAGAACAAAACCCAATATGCATAAAACAAATCCAAGTCACTAGGCTTTAGCTGATAGAACCAACTACCTGTGTAATAACAAAGTGGCAGAAACCATTTCTCATGTGGCTGCATAGACTATATTGCATCTAGTTCTAATGTAACTTACTTTTTGAGTAAGTTACTCAAAAAGTTACTCACTCCCCTTCATTAAAAAGATTTTTTTTGTTAAGTAATGTGTTATCCAACAGACATCAATCTGATTAATACTTTGAATTGTGCAATGAAGGAATCCTACTGTGTAAGATTTTAAATAAATTTATTTTTATTTGAAATGGGTTTCACTTACAAATCTCCTTCTAGTATTTGACACAACAGTTTTTACTAAGTTTTAATTTCTTGATTGTGTATAAAGGTCATTCCAAATACAAAGCATTAGATTTGAGGTTCATTCTCATCTATTGAGGAAGAAAATAAACATCTTCCCTAGACTGCTTTGATGTCCTCTGAGAAAAGAATTCCCCTGGATGTTGAAAACTGAAGAGCTTAGTCACCTTAAGCCACAGAGTGTTCCTGTGGTTTCACTACTGTGTCAAAAGGTGCCCTGTCAGCCTGCGTGCCTTGAAAGGGAAAGTTAAAAATGAAGCTTTTCTGTTGTGTGCCAAGAGAATTCCTGGGCCTTGTCTTCTACTCTTGGTGTATCTTCTGTGCTGCAGAAGGGAACAGTGAAGGAAAGTGACGTTTGCTGAGAGGGACTTCAGAAGAACCGCTGCCATGTGAGAGATAAGGGCTTGCTGTAGGCAGGATTTCCAATCCAATCACTCATTGCTGTGGCCAAACCATAACACTAGAAAAAGAAGTCCCCAGATTTCAAGTCACTTGGGAGCTGGCTGGCTTGTGAAGCATCTGCTGGTCTGAAGCATACAATCAAATTTTGACTTGAGATGGAAAAGTCACTTAAATCCATGCCACTGATGACTTCCAGTGCTTTTCCCATTTTCAGAAATGAAAGCTTTTCATCATAGCGACAGCAAATTAAATGCAGAAGTAGCAGTAGTAAAGGGATTCTGGTTTTTTGTGTGCACACATATGCAATTTTACTTCTTTATATAACGTGTAAGGTATGGATCAAAATTCTCAAATAAGCAAGGTAAATGAGGAAAAATCACTTGAGTGCAAACTTTGAACATTTTAAAACTTCACCTAACCTACGGACTGGATTATTTGGTATTTCTCAGAAAGTACTAATTCCATTTAACAAATACAGAAGACAGCTTTTCAGGAAGGAGGAGGTTGTTACTGTTTGCTTTGCACATTTAAGTGAGCATATGGCAAACTGATGAATATGTATTTGGATCTTGGGAGAGTTAGACTAACCTAATAACTCCTAATATAAACTCTCAGTGTTTGGTTCATTGTAAATACTTTGAAAGTCTGATTGTTGAAAGCCTTGCCAGTTTTGTGGGTTTACAACTGATCGGTTTTCTTCTTACGTGAAACATCCATGTTAAAAAGGAAGAAAAGCAAACTCCCAACTTGGCTGTAACGTCAGCCAAACTCCCAACCTGGCTGTCAAACTTTTACAGCTGGAGAAAGACAACAGTTACACTAGACATATAGCGGAGTTACAGTAAGATAGTACTCATACAGCCCCTTTTGTATGAGTACATATGAACTATGAGTATATATGTATGAGTATATATGAACTATATATGTGAAGTAGATTTAATCTTATTTCAAATATTACTTGCAGCAGACTTTGAGGGTCCTATACACAGACTCCTGTATTTTTTAATGATGCTTTGGCCTAGTAAAGGAAGTGTGAAAAGTCTCAGTACCTGACTGTGACTCTTCTGCAGTTGCTTCTGGTCTTCAGACAGGACCTGTGCAGAAAAGTGGTGGCAGACAGGAAAGGTGTTCTCCTGTTGCATTGTGCAGTTTGAATACAAAAGGGACCTTGTTTGTTTTTGTAAATGTCAAATGTCAGGCTTTTGCTTCTTTTTATGTCTTTGTAGAGGAAAGGGTCTACTGCTTGCAAATAGTATGAATGTAGGAGGACAGTGGGCAAAAATATTTCATTCTTTTTTAAATTATTGGCACTAAATGTGAGCATTTCATTTAATCAAGTTGCACATTCCCAAGACTGATAAACAGTTAACCCATTTAAATAAATCTGTTCTCTACAGTAAATGTGTTGTGGCATGAACTCAGATCTGTATCTGCCAGTTTGAGTCTTTCACTGTATTTTATGATGGAAGAGACTAAGCAGTATAAACACCAAGGCAGCCCTAGATACTGCAATTGATAAAATGATGGTGTTCGAATACGGAGGTTTGATCTGGGGGAGACACATGACAGAAATAATTAGATGCTTACTAAACTGAGTGTTAGTCTAACTTGTAGGATACTTGAAACTAGATGATGCACCATGTAAGTTTTAACTCTATTTGACCATTTTTACACCTGTGGAATAAACAGAGAAGACACTCTTGCAGGGACTACTTGAGGAGTATGGCTATACTAAAAATGAGGAAGAATGGGTGTTTTTGGCTTACAAAGACTGTAATGGTAGGTGGCTCCACTTCTCTTTGAAAACCCTATGCAGTTTAAAAAATGACTCCCTGCAATGAGTTTTCATTTTACTCTACAAAGGTGAACTTTTAAAATAATACACCCTTGTCTCCCCTTTAGAGTTCACATTTTTAGGTGGCTTGTCTCTCAAGGAGTTTGAAGTGAAATTAGTATATTGAAAAAATGCAGCTTGAAATGAAAAAAAAAAATCTGTATCATCTTGGGTACTGATCAAGTTCTCCCAAGTGCTATGAAGGGTCAAAGAAGACAGGTGCCTTTACTGCAGAAAACGTCACAGAGAGCTTGATGCGCTCTGTGGAGCTGCTAGATAATGAACCGGTCCTTTAGCCCTTACTTCATCAGGGTCAATAGCGCCACATAGTGGGGGGTTTTGAACTAGCTGAGCGCATGGTTCCTATTAAAAAAAGGTAGCTTGGTGTGTGGGCTATTGTATGGCTAAAATCAGAACTGCAAACATTCAGTAACTCAATTTTTAAGAAAGCTGGTTGAATGTTAGAAGACATCAGGCACTATATGCAGTTGTTAACTGTGATGGCTTAGCTGCATTGCCACACTTCAGACTTCACCTGATCTACTGAAGTTAGTCCCTGCCTTGGTATTTACATAATCGTTTTATGTTAATAGGCTAGCTTTTGAAAACATTGAAGATGTACCTAGACTAACTCCACCAACAGTATATGCGGTCTACGTAGGAGGAAAAGAGGTGCTTTTTAAAAAACGTTCAGGGTGTGGCTAACAATTTTCCAGTTTACTGCTGTAGCACAGCTTAGGGCTTTGTCAATACTACTGATGTTTTTTTACATCGATTAGAATCTAAAGTTGCTTCCTGTTAACTTCAGTAGGAAGGAAGGGTTGCAGCTGAGGCAAAACCAAAACCCAAAGCAATTTACTAGTATGAGTTTGTCATTTCATAGTACTCATTTTTTTCATTTAAATAAAAGATGTAAGTGCAATTAAAATACAGGATAATGCATAAGACATTAAGAAAGTGCAAGGTGTGAAATCAAGAATTCAGAACTAGGAAACATCAAATTAAGGCCACGGGTCTATTACAGAGGAAGTCAGCGGCACAGCAAAGAAAGAGCAGAACCCAGCTCTTGAATAAGTGCCACAGTAAACAAAGGAGGAGTTGCAATAACCTACATTGTTGCATGTTTAACTAGGAACTGGGTTAAGAGAAAGTCATGGTTAACAAGCATAATTCAGTGCATGCAATTTCAGGCTTGACAGTAGATCTTATTTATCACCTCAGAAGCGAGTGTTTGCAGTCCTTCATATAACACACCTGTAAAATGGTGAAGGAATAATACCTGTAGGTTAAAAACGGCTTTGTTCCATTAGAGCTATTAATTTGTCACCACCCATACTAGGCAATGCACTGGCGTTTCCCCTCACCAGCTGAACACACCTTCCACTAAAAGCTAGAAAAGGAGAAATGTGTTGCTGGTGCTGTTGTCCGTATTTGCCAGCTGTGGCATGAGGCGGAGTAAGACCCAGGTGTGCTCTTGGTGAAGGCACCTACCACTGGCAGCACCTGGCACTGCCTCCCAGAGAATGCGCACCACAGCCCTAACCTTCTTTGGAAATGCTTCTAACAAAGTTAAGAACAGCCAGGTTCTTTTTTTTTTTTTTTTTTTTTTTTTTAAGAGCTATATAAATGCAGCAGATTTTCATAATGGATAACAGAAAAACTGCTGTCCTTAAAAACATTTCATGATCTACCTTTTTAAAATTTATGTAGAAAAATTTATTTTCCACTAACTGAGATTTTTTAAAATAATTGTTATTATTTCCAAATTGCTCAGACTGAGGAGCCAAGAGCAAGTACAGGTGTAAGAAACTGGAGTCCACAGGAGCTACTTTACAGTGGTTAGTTTCTGAGCTGACTGCCACATACATTTCCCTAACAAGCCAGCATACTATACAACTTTTCAGTCTTTTGTTCACAAGCTCTCCCTAATCCTCCAGCTGATCTGCTGTCTAATAAAAGAAGCATTACTATTATTATTGATTATCCCAGTAAGAGGCACAGATTAAAGGGCAAGGACTAACCTGTGAAGTTAATCTAAGTACTTCACCTACATGCTTCTTTGAAAGACTGATCTGAATTTCTGATTTGAATATCTTTTGAGCAGTACCTATTTTGTGGTGAAACAGTACCATCAGGAACAAGTTATATTCTGCACACATCTTTGATGGAAAAGTAACAAATGCTACTATTTGCTCAGACTAAATAACTTTTTTTTTTTTTCGGAGCATGAAAGCTACCATGTAAGGTACTTGTCATGAGTGAAGACTTTCTTTTCTGTAAAGAAATTTCTTACTCATTTCAAAATGCTTCAAAAGATGACCCAAAATTGTGCTTAAAGCTCTACTATCTCCAGTGAAGCCATTTATGTATTTGAGAGTTCTACAATTAAGCTGCTTCAAGTATGCATATACAAAAGATCTTGAACTACCCCTTTTTAAATAGGGACTTGCTTGCACGCTCTAGTTCCTTTAACAGTCAGTGTTACTAGATGTTTAAGAGTTGACCTGCACCTTGCATATGTGGTTTAGCTGTTTGTTCATCACTACCTATAATAATTTTGCAAGTGTGGTCACTCACTCCTGATAGAAGTTTATATAATCCTCTTCTTTCTGAAAGAGGAAAGTGAGGAGGATACTGCTCTTCATGTTCCGGCCTTCAAAGTATGTGACTCCTCCCATTCTTAAGAGAGGTCTAGATCAGAAGACTTTTTTTCTTCCGGAGCCAAAGCAGTCGATCTAGGGCCATGCACAGGCAGACTGCATCCATCTTGTCTGACAGTTGTAGACTTATTAAAAAATGAGTCTCACTATAGTCTCATTGTAGTACTACCAGGCGCTCTCAACGTTTTAACAAAAAAGATAAAGCACATTGGTCCAAGAAGCTCTTGTGCAATTTGCCACTGTTGTCCTCTAGCAAGAGCATCATTTTGTTTAAAGTGGGCAATGCAACATGTTTAAAATGGTGATTAGACCTTCTGCTATGCATTTTGCTCTTTTTTTTTTTTTTTTGAAGAGTAACTTCGGTCCTGACCTTCTCCGTTTGTCTTTTGCTATTGGAAGACACCACTCCTTACCGATCTTTACCAGCATCTCAGCCTCCTTCCACAGGCAAGAAATCCACTTGGTATTCTGTTCTTCCAGGGACAGTTCTGTTGATTGCTGTCTCTATATACCCTTAACTTCACATGAAAAACAGACTGATTCTAGGGTAGGCCCAATTTGTGATCAGTGACAACACCACTTAAATTTGTCACCGTTAAGTTATGCAGACTGCTATATATCATGTAAATCAGTACACTCTCTAGAACACAAGGATCATAAAAATCTCAGGTCCGCAGGGAGAGGAACAGACCTTTGCAATTTCACAAACTGTGACAGCATGCTTCATATCTTTAATTATATAAAATTAACATTTTTGACTTTTAAGTTCAGACATTTTATTCTCCATACATCTCACTTTGTGTATTTCAGTTAAATTCCACTCAGACGGCTACAGGTGATTTAAGAAGTCTGTTTAAATCGGTCAAATCAAAGTTAGATACAAAATCTCTAAACTTCATTGTAAGATTCAACTACACATTTGAAGGAAGCTTCTGTTTTTTTTTCTTAATTCCAGTTGCTCTGTATTCTGCTCTTTGCTTCAAATATTCTGTTTTGCATTCTTCATAGAAAGCTGGATCAGTATAGCTACAAGACAGACACACATATAATATTGTTTTTCATCTTGGTAAAAGGGAGCAGATAGTGCATAAATAGCACTCAACTGATCTTTCTTTCACACCCAAATAAATTTGCTTGCCTTCAATAATAAAATACCTTTTTTAAGAAATATGAAACTGGTAAAAGTTATTATCTTTTTGAACTCTAAATATTAAGTTAGTCTGCATCCTCTCATAATATTGTCCTCTGTTGAGGCATAGTCCTTTTCAAACTTACATAGTAAATAAAAATGAAAAGGAAGGTAGAGAAAGGGAAATACAGCTGGAATTTCAGTTCAGCTAAACTGTACATTATTATTTACAACTAGCCTCCTCAGAATGAGAATCTGCAGGATTACACAGACATTTATGTCACCACGCAAGTACTAATGAATTTCACTGGGACAGGTTCAAGCATTTGTTTCGAATAGGAAATGCATAGGTCCTCGATCATGAAAATGAATTCATTTTACTTGTAATTGTTTTAAAATAGCATTATTCCAGTACTAAGCATTTGTTCAGTAGTGTGTATTTGGTTCAGGTAGTTTTTTGTTTGTTTATTTTTTGTCTTTTGGGATTTTTTTAACGTTTGACTGCATGAAGGTATGGACAAATAAAACTGAATACTGCAGCAAGTTCTCACTGCAGTTAGATTTGGAACTCCTGCCTGGCTGCACACGCGTTTACATTGATTTCCAAATATCCAAGAGTAGTTGTCACTAGTTTAAGGGCATTTAATCTCTGGCTTAACAGGGTAGGATACATGCATTGCACCAAAAACCAAACCAAATCCCCAAATCAAACTCACTACAATCAACTCAAACTAAGAAATTCAAGAATTTAACACTGGGACAAATCAGGACTTCAGAAGAGACCTTTCTTTCTACCATGGCATCAAGTTGACCTCTCTACTATTTAACATAATTTCCCTTTGCTACTGCTATTTGTATTCACAATTGCAGGCCATTTTCAGAATAAGGAGTAAACGTTGAAAGACTGTTCCGTAAGCAACTCTGTCTCACCAACAGAGAATGAAGGCACGTCTAGTGCACATCCATATCCCCACAGTTTTATTAAGGAAATAATAATCTTGTCAGGTAGAACCATGACCAGCATGCTTTTTTCTAAAGTGAAGGTATGCTTCTCCAAAAATACCTCCAATTATGGTGATACATCAAAGTCACAAGGCTTGCAAAAACCTTTAGAGGTTTAAGATTTCTATTCATTTCTGCATTAGAGTAGGCCAAAACATCAGCTAACAAAAACTCAAAAGGGACTTACTAGGAAACCAGACAATCCTTCAGTGCTGCGTTCTCTTGCCGACATTTCACCACCATAAGAAGACCGGTTTCTTTACAGCATTTAGTAAATGCTGGGAAAAAAAAATTAAACTTAAGTTAGAAAAAAATCACAATCAGTAACCCTCCCTAAGTGCATCATAATCCATAGGAAAAACATCACTGACTATATCTATTTCTATAATCATAATTGGCCTGAAGTCTTGTGTTCTTTGTAAGGTCTTTGTTGCTTGTTAAGCAAGTAGATTTTAATTAGGATTTTCTCCTCATATCATATAACAGGTTCACACACATACTGCTGTTGCTAATACCAACAAATTCTGAAGCTATTCTTGCAGCAAATCCATGATTCTTAGGCTTGCTTTTCATGCTGACTATGCAGGGCTAACACAGTAAACCAAAAGGAAGTGTGAAGAAGTAGGTAAGCTAGGGTTTTTTAGTGTTTCCTCTACAATGAAAGCTTTCAAAATTACTGAAGCGCATTTATCTACAAATTAGAGGGCAATAATGTTGATAGCAACTACTGGCTCAACAAAACGCCCCTGGCAATTGCCTCCTCTGAAGGTGCCCTGCAGATAGGAGACAAGAAACTGAAGTGATGGTTCTCTCCTGGCATTTCCAAAAAACTCTTCTACTGGGAGTGCAGGGAGAAAGCCAGCCATATCTCCTGTGAGTGCCAGGTTGTTCTCCAAGGAGCACTGCTCCTGCTGGCTGCATCTCCTCTGGGTCATGAAGTGGCATTTAGCATTTCTTCAATTCAGAATTTCTTTGAAGTCCAAATGGCTATCAAAGAGCACTGCCCATGAAAATATTAATCACCCTTTATATGCTCTTGTTCTTAAATCCCACAGATCATGATCCCAGGAATGTCTAAGAGAGGAGACAATAACATGTCTCTTCCCAAGAGAAAGGATCTTGCATCCATTTGCTCAGTAAAAGTACTCAGTCAGTCATGGATCTTGAGACTTAAAAGCAAGTCACTGACGTACTGAAATAAACATTTAAATAAGAGTAACTACAATTGTGTCTCATTGTTACCAGCACTCTGCACAGATATTTCGCTAAGTAATAGTAATAAAGAAGGAGATAAGAATTAGCCGTTACCCCTTCTACGAGGCGATTTCAAACTGTTTTCTTACAAGTGGTCTAAATTAGTAATCAATCATCCGTATTTTACAGATGAAGTAAAAAAGGTACAGAGAGAAAAAAACAATTGTCCAAGGTCAACCAGTAGCCAGGTCAAAAACAAAGTCAGAACTTCTGTGTTCCTGTCTGGAATTCCCCATTTCTCCTCTTCCCAGCTTTTCCTGGTAATTATTTCATACCACACAAATTTAGGAGATGTAAAAATTGTTATTTTCTTGAACATCTTCAGCAAAACTTACAGCTAATCTATTAACATCAAAACTTAATGACACTACATGAACTTAGTGATGCTACAAAGGGTAAATCGAGTTAGCTATATTCAATTGAGCATGTATTTGCATTGCTATTAATTGTCCTGTTTGCAATGTAGGCCAAAAACTTGTAATTCATGTATTCAAAACAGCATCTTCCACTTTTTGTGCACGTTGATCAGATATGCAGCAGTTACAAAAGCAGCAATTTCTTTGATCACTTCCATTCTATAAACTTACTGTATAGACACACTTTTTCAAATTCTGCTGGGAATCAAAGAACGTACCTAAGAACTAGGTCCCTACAAGTTACTGATCATGTGAAAATACTGGCACAACTGTAAAACCTACCAAATGTAGTATAGATATGTATTTGTCCTTGTACGTTTTCAAGACACTTTACCCAAAGTTTCAGATTTGCCTATTAAGTAACTGTTGATCCTGTATGATGATGCAACTTCCATAAGTCCAAACATAAGTAAAAAAGAAGACAGAGCTTTGTCCCTGGAAAAGCAGCAGGATGGCATCTTATTCTTTGCTCACAGCAGAGCTGGCTTTGGGCCTTTGTCCTTGCTCTACTAAAATCAGCATTAAGCTATTGCTGACTTCAGTGGAATAAAATCCACCTTCCAGTATCCTAGATGCTACCGACATAAAATGTTAAGGAGAAAATGATCCCACAGCTGCAAGCAACCCTCAGGTCAGACTAGTCTGCCTGCCAGCCTGTGGCTGCAGTAGGTTTTTAATACATAACTTGCAGAAGAACTTAGGTTTTGGTCAAAGTGTTGAGGACAGCCTAGTTGCAAGAATCCTTCTTATATGGCCAAACTTTGCAACATCTATCTTTACAAAATTTTACAAGGAGTTGGCATGTTATCTACTTTGGACAAATTATTGATGAACACTTTTACGTGCGCTTCAGCACAGTATCTAACATTGCACACTGGTAATAGCCCCTTGGAAATGTGCTAGATGAAAGTATGCAACAAGTACATTTAAATTAAGTAGTTAATTACTAGTTGGGAGACGCAGTAACCTGTCCTCAGAGGCACTGATTAACAACTTCTACTCAATTTCTAAGATCTGGTTTTGTATATATTTTAGTTTTAGACCACAAATCATCCAAATACACATGCACAACTTCTGAGGATATTTTTGAATAGCTAGTGCTTATTAAGCAGTGTAAGCAGAATAATAAAGTGTGCTATTAGACAATCAAAATATTTCTTTAGCTTTTAAAGGTGAAGAATCACTACACTAACATCTGCCCCTTTTTCCTGTTGTTTCTGGACTATTTATATTGGGTGTCCCTATATCAGCACCTCTCATAAAAATCACACCTATTATCAATTTTCTAAAAAAGCCCCTTAAAAAACCCCAAACAAACAAAACCAAAGACCATCAGAAGCCTTTGTAAGCTTACGGTTCGTCTAGTCACCACTTTGATTTCTGCTCTCTACAGGCACATGCTTAAGTGCTGTGCCTTTTTTTTTGTAGTAATCATTCCGTCTAGAAGCTGTGAAGTAAAAAAAACCACTGCAGACAACAGGAGGTCCCTCTCACTTGTTAGTTCACTAGTCTTGATTGGTTAAAGGTGTGATGTCCCAGTGAACAAAACCTGAACTGCAATCGCAAGCGTTCCCTGGCTTCAGAAGGCCTCGCTTGTGGTAAATGGCCAGGCGAGTAGAAAGCACTGGTACAAAGTGATAAAACTGCTTCCAGCTATCTAGCTTAAATGTTGCTGATGCTTAACAAAGGAGGAAAAAAAAAAAAGAGCTGGTTGAAGCATATCAGGCATCCCCATATGAGCACACAAAACTCAGTTATTCCTCTCTCTCCTTATTTCTAGCTCTTTAAAATCCCTTTGACAGCTATGGAAAGGAATGTGGTACGAGATCGGTTTAGTTTTAAGTGTTTACAAGTAACCTTACAGGAATCTGGAAAGTGTTGTTTTTAATTATGCTCTATCTTGTTTATAACTCTTGCATGTCAATGTTAAGTAGCACAGAGTGTTAAAACAATGAGAGAATAACCTCAGAAACAGACCACAGCACTTCCAGAAACAGTCTCAAACCAAGAATTAATCTTCTGAATCTCTGAATTTCCAACTCACCCCCATATTCCTCACTCAAGCAACGTCTATATCGTAGACCAAAACTTTGGGGTGTGTAACGAAATATTATACCACAAAACAATGGGATCTGACTACAAACCCATTGTAGCTGAACATTTTAACAGCCATGAGCAGAAATTAAAACTCCAGGGGATCCAGCCTCGCACTCAAGATGAACCTGTTTCCTGATACTGTAGGTCATACAAAGACCAATTGCTCTTTCACTGCTTATTTCTGAAACAGACAGTTGGTCTTTTAAAATCCTGTGTACAATCCAATTTTTACAACACTAGAAGATGGCTTTCCATGACTTTACAAGGTCATGTGGGGAAAGAATGTCTTCCTTCTCCTAGCAAGCAGCAAGCTACCAAGACAGATGCTTAGAGAGGAGTGAAACTAGGTGTGAATTTGAGTCAAATTCAGTGCAGAATTATAACCAAAAAAAGAAGGAAAGAAACACAATTTGTTTCAAATAAATAATAAAAACCATCCCCAATATTTCAGAATTGAAGTGTCATAGCTTTTATTTCCAATATGACTGTTTTGAAATTGATCTACAGTACAGAGAGCAGAAATATTAAAGACAAGCTGAAACGTTGTCTCAAAGTGGACAGTTTTTCATTTAATCAAGAAAAACCCAATTAAAACACTGATCATTCCAAGCTGATGTGAACTAATATTTTGTATTTTTGACTCATCAAAATGAAAGATGTGCATTTGCATAGCTCGCTTTTCAAACAGTGAAGCAAATCCAGTCAACCTCCTGGAAGTGCTCCCTGCACTAGTCATTCTTATTATGATACCTTATAATAGTATTAACTTCATAAATACTCACCAGACCATAAAAAGCCAATGATATGAAAAGTCAAATGTGGCTCGGCCTTTTTTCGCAGCTGGTGCATCTGATAGGCTCCACCAGCTGAGGAGCAAAACAGGATACAGGAAGCTAAGAACACGAGGGATGGAGTTCAACGTAATAGGAGTGAAAATGCCTTGCTACAAGGGAAAAAAAAAACTTGCCCTCCACAAAATGCAGCCTGGCAACGCTCTGCTAGGATGGCTAGATATGTCCGTCACTGACTGCTCCATGCACAGGTAAGGACAGACCCAGCAGTGCTTGAAAAAGTTGCAGGTGCCCCTTCTAAAACAGCAGCTGGCCATGGAACCTTCTCTCTAATCTGCAGCAATTACGGTTCACCGCATTGTATTTGAAGGAGGCTAGCTCCAAAGATTGATTGAAAACAGATCCTGGGAGTGAGCTATGCAGAGGAGCTGTAAAGATCCTTACACTTACAGAGAAGTAAGACTTCTTGAACTTCTGTGTTTGCAGCAAAATGACTTTGATCAGTGGAGTCCAGAAATTCAAGCGATTCAACCGCATACTCTTTTCTGTGGCATAGTCTGCATCTAAGAAGGATGTAAACTGAGCAAAGAACGCTCTTCTGAGGTATACATCTCAAATAATTCACTGAACAGTTTATCCTTAATTTGAGGACAGATTTCTTCTTTTCTATCTCTCTCACAAAGAGAATTCTGCACTTTTCTTGTGAGGAAAATCCAGAACTGGTTTTGAGCACAGTTCTCAGGGAATGCCATTTTCAGTCTCATTACCTTTTGGCTGTTACAGCCATATTGAGAGATTTTAAAATAAATTTACAATTTAGTATCCTTTCTGAATCAACAAAGCATGTAAGGCCAAAAGATATCTTTGCTGCGATAAAGGCCAGCTTTCAGCTGAACAAAAACTGAACAATTAGATTTGAATACAGAGCAATTCAGTTTTGCCCAATTGTAACTAACTGCAAATTACGGTATGCTAACATGCTGAGGTGACTGACTATGATGTGAAGACCGCTCAGGTCCTCTGATTTTCAGGGACAGATATAAGAGCCTTGCAGCTAAGAGCAGCGACAAGCCTTTCTGTGGATTGACTCTTTAGCAGAGGGTATCTCGGGCATTTGGCAGCACTGGGAACCCGCTCCTGAGTTTGGGCCCCAGCACAAGATGCCTCCAGATCTCTGATTGCGCAGGGGCAAAGAGCAATTTCACTGGCTCTCCCAACCTCAACTTCATCTGCTTGAGAAAGCAGGATGCAGAGAAGGAAGGGAAAACAGCTGCTTTTAGGTCCTGGCACATGTGAGTTCGCAGGACAACAGAAGGAAGAGATATTAAAAGCATTCTAAAATTATTTCCAAAGCTGTCTGGACACGCTTTTCTTTTTTTGTTTAAATAAAAATCTCCAAAGAGTCTTCAGTAAGGTGTAAGTAGCTAAACTGCATTATACAAATAATGTTGGAACATTAAGAATTATTTTAAATGTCTGGCTATTCTTTAACATATTTGATTGTTGATTAAGAACTGCTTTAAGATACAGAATGGTCTCTCTTTATTAAGGTTTCTTTGAAAGCTAGATATATAGCTGACACAGTAAACAACTTTGTATACAAAGATCTTTACACACCACAAAAGTCTCTGCTGAAAAACAGTTAGTACCTACAGAGAATGTTTTGCATTAGTATTTCTGAATGGCTTTTTTCCCCTAACACTGATTTATAACTTTCCTACAAGATAATACATGGAGCAGATAGAAACTGTAGTGAAAGTGGGTAACAATGCACTTGTCTCCAAATAAGGACTGGATAACAAAGATTTCTCCATCTATCTCTAAAGAGATAGAGATCTCTATAGAGAGAATTTTCAGTACTTTCAAGAGTTGGTTTTCAAAGGTAAAACCCAGCTACATTAGCAGAAAGTTAGTCGCTACAACAAAGCTGGTAGTGATGTTCTGGTAAGATTAAATTCAACAGTCTTTTGGTATCAAATATGTCTGTGAGCATCTGCAGACCTACAAGCAGTAGACAACAACCCCTTCTCCTCCTCCACCATATGTAAGATACAAGTGTTCTTTACGTCCCCTACGATACCCCCTGCCCAAAGTATAGGTAGGCTGGTCCATCCACTGTTCTCCAGGCAAAATCAAGTGGTAGAATCAATGTGTCAGGCTACAAAAGTTCCAGTTACATATACATAAAGAAAAGACTTAATGGAAAAAATTATAATGCCCTGCCCCAAGTCATTAGAAATTATCAGAAAGTTGGCATTTTCTGTGATTACATTATGGGGAACAATGAGCAAGTGAATTACAACTGTAGTGCTGTTTTTTTAAAAAGTAATTCTTACTTTTTAACTTCAAATATTAAAATATTAGATTTTTTTTGGCAAACATAAAATTCTTTCCATATACAAAGCAAGAGAAGGACAAAAAGTGTTTATGACTTATCTCCACACAACCAGCAGTATGGAAACTGTGTTGACATAACAATGCCAAGGGCTCATCATTATTATTTTTAGGCATGAATTGCAACATGAGGGCCATTTCTGAAATGTTCATTTTTTGTAGATTCAGATTATAACAATACTTGGCATTTTCCTATTGACTCATATTTGCAGTCTTGTGCACTTAATATAATATTAAAATATTATTTATCAATCATAATTATATATCTATTTTAAAGCTTTTCTTGTACAAGTAATAAATGAAATATTCCCCATTATCAAGATAAATTGATCCTCTCAGGTCGGCCACTAGTTTATTTAAAGACGTTACAATTTTACTACTTAAGAGAAAGTCCTACAGAGGTGTTATCTCACCATTTATATTTTCTCAACACTTATGATACCGCTATCACACTCTTAAAATAAAAAAAAAAAAGCTTGTATCATGATCCAGAGCAAGCTTATATTCTATTTCTAGGTTGTTTTTTTATCCTCAGGAAAAAAAAAAAGAAAAAAGTAAATAGTTTTGTCCCACATTTGGATCATTCTTTCTGCTCTACCACTTGGTGAACTAAAAACACCCAAGTAACAATGTGGATTTGGGGGTGAACAAGTGAAGAGAGAGGAAACAGTTTAGTTAAAATGTGAAAGAGCTTGTAACACAGGATTCTACAGTCTATGTTTGTAAAATGTGTCCAAGAACACTATAATGGTACAAAACTTTATCAACGATATTTTATGGCAAAGTTATTACGCTTTTAATTTTGTATTAAATTGTGATTTATTAGCTTGTTACTTTGAAGATTACTCAGCATGCACAGAACAGATTGCTGGCGCATTTAATGAGCCAAAGGAGGCAGTAGAATGAACATGAGAAGATTGTTTTACATTGTAGAGTGTGAGCTATTTGATATTTCTAGCACAGTACAAAAGAAAGCTTCTCTGTAGATTGATCATGGTTCAGTTAACATCACTGAATATCTAATACCTCCAACTCAATTAATTCTCACCTGATTAAGATCAGTCTGATATTCAAACTAAATCATCTCTCCAGTCAAGTAGAAATCAATATTTCTGATTTTACTTTTAAATTACAATAACAAATAAAATATATGCATCGTCAGTATGCCAGGAGTGGCTTTCCTATTCTAGTCTACTATGGCATGCATAACACAGCTGATTAAAGAATTAGAATAATTTGAGCAACAATATATATAAGAATGAGATTAATTTGAATAGAGGGAGACAGCATGAAGTAATTAAATGCATCTTATATAGGGTAAACAGAAAATTGACATAAAATAACCTTGATTCTTTCAAGTGAACCTCTGTTATCAGATCAAATACTTTGTCTCCACAGATATGCATTTGATATATCATACAAATAACCTTATACAGTTTCCATTTTCTTGCTCAGCACCAGCTCCCCAAAAGCTGTTCCAGTTCAGCTCTTACAGCTCCGACGCACTGCTAGCTCTGCTCTGGGGCAGATGACCAACACTCTGCAGGACTGGGGGAGGAGAGCAAGATTGAAGCAATGTGGCAATTTTAAGGAAGGGATTTGCACCATGTTAGAAGTCCCTCCTCCTCCCCGCTCTTTTCCAGCGCTCTCTCAGTATGGAAAATCAGCTTTGTCTTAAAGTAGACAATGCAAACAGAGCATCCTCCCGCACACTACAGGGTATCTTGCACTCTAGTGTGAAATGCTGAAAAGTTATTCATCTCATGACTGGGAAGTGAACATACAGCAAGAGAGAACTGTCAGAAAAGCAGACGGCACAACTGTAACACACAGAGGAAGAATATTTCCCCAAAACTAGAAACTATATTTCTCTAAACACACTGCCTTGGGATAAAGAATGTGCTATCAATATCCTAGAAACAAATCTGAAGACTTCGCTTCAGGTGACATGATAAAATGATAGATTGGATCAGTCAACAGGCCCGTTTGTTCTGCATCCCGTCTTCCTCAGAAGCCAGTAACGGCTGCTTCAGAAAAGGGTGCCAGAAAGTCTACATTATGGAATAATGTTTTCTCAAGTGAAGTTTCTTCCTCATCATTCCCAAACTTAGCTTCTACCCTGAAGCATAAACTTCTCATATGCCTTTTAAAACGCTTACAATCAACTGCACAGTAGAGTGATAACTCTCCAACAGAAGAAGAGGAAGGAAGAGTGAAAAAAAACACCCAAATACCAAAAAGACATATACTCATTTGAATTCCTTCAAGAACTATCTGTGCCTGGCTTGTTTAAGTCCCGCTCAAGTCCCTACTACTGCAGTTCTGGTTATTTGTGTCATACCATGAATGCCTTTCTCATTAGCAAGTTTTCAAAATCCTACTGTAAATATTACTGACCTGAAAGTATTTCTTGGATGCAGAAGACCCTGCCTGTCCAGCCACTCTCCCTTTCTCCCCGGCAATCGCTTAACGTAGCTTTAATAGGCCAAAGCAGTAGAGAGGAGAAGCAGTCTATGTAGATTAAAAATGATATTTCTTCAGAACACTCCCGTTAACTTGCTCTCACGTAGCATGTCTCTGGGAAGCCCTGTGACAGCAGACAAACAAGTGGCAACACCAGAAGATTAGCAGAGGAGTTAACTAAAAAAAGAGATGCTTTCCCAGAACAATAATCCAGCCTGGCTCCAGAGCTGAGAAAACAGTGCTGTGTGAATGACTGACATGAACTCAAATAACAGCCCCAGAAGTCTTACGACCAGCTGTAACAGCAGGCTCAAGGTTGCATCTGGGGATGCTGCTCGTGAGAGCAACAAGAGAGCAGCGTCCTCGTCGGGAACAAGGGCACAGACTGCATCCCCTCTTGAGCTTCCCCTCAAACGCCCTCAGCAAACTCTGAAATGACCTGGTTTACTGTAAAGGTTTCACTCTCAATGCCTTTGATGTTTCAATGCCATCTACCTTCACTTAGAAACAGTATTCAAAATTTTCATCTCTGGAATTCTGGAATACACAGATACTACAAGTTTCTGGGTTTGGCCAATCATTCACATCTGGCAAGAGCATTTCCTTTCTGAAACTCAAGCTTACAAGGAGCTTTCCAAATGAATATAGGAAAACAACAGCTTATTTAAACATTCTATTTCAAATACTACCCAAAAGCTTTTTTTTTTAATTGAAATACAACATTGACTTTGAAAACACATGTAGGGATTCTCCAACATCACTTAATTCAAAATAGATATTGTTATTCAGCTGTCGATCTACTTTTTCTTCTTATTACAGAAACATTAACAGAGTTTTTGTTGTTGTTTATGAGCCCAACAATCATCAGAGAAAGAATTTCTGGAAAAAAAGAGGAGTTTAAGAAACAAGCACCAAGTAGTAATAAGTAAATCAAGAAAGCAATAAATGAAGAAGACAAATACCACTCCCATCTGATGATGAAGACTACACTGGGGAAACCTCTCTCACTGGACTCAGTACGGGCATTAAAGCCTAAAATTTGCCAACATTGCCCAAAATCTGTGAATGTTTGCCAGAAGTATACTCACAAACTCTGACCAGAGGCACAGCCCCAGGAAACAGTATGGAAGTACTTCTGTCTGCCCCAATTAACCAACAGTAACAGCACAGGAGAAGACCATTGGGATCTTTTCTTCCTAATTTCTTAACAAGCACTAGGAGGCAGTCAATGAAACTGAAAAGCAGCAAGTTGAAGAAAGATAGGAATTATTTTACTTTAAACAAACAGCCCAAGGAACTCATAGCCAAACAGTAATTCAAGCCAGCGTAATTAGCACGATTCAAAAATAGCCACGTATTTAAATAGATAACAAAAATATGCCAGGCTAGAGTAATCAGAGTTAAAAACAGAATTCTGAAAACATATTAACATACCATTCCATGATATCTTCAACAACTCTAAGGCCTGCTCCTTGGACAAGGGCAGGTCTGCCCTCCTCCCCTTCCCAGCCCATTCCACCTTGCTATATCAGTACTAGTATCACAGAATCGTTGCGTTTGGAAGGGATCTCTGGACCAAATAGTCTAACCCCTCTGCTCAAGCAGAGTCAGCTAGAGCAGGCTGCCCAGGACCATGTCTAGTCAAATTTTCAGTATCTCCACGGATGGACACTCCACAACCTCTCCGGGCAACCCACTCCAGTGTTCAACCATCTTCACAGTATTTTCTCATGTTCAGAAGGCATTTCCTGTGTTTCAGTTTGTGCCCATTGCTTCTCATCCTGTCACTGGGCACCACTGAGAAGAGTCTGTCCCTATCCTCTTTATACCCTCCCTTCAGGTATTTATGAACATTGATAAGATCCCCCCTGAACTTTCTCTTCTCCAGGCTGAACAGGCCCAGCTCTCTCCTCTCCTCATATGAGAGATGCTCCAGTCCCTTAATCTTTTGAGCGACCCTTCACTGGAGTCGCTGCAGTAGATCCGTGTCTCCCTTGCACTGGAGAGCCTAGAACTGGACTCAGCACGCCAGACGTTGTCTCAACAGGGCGGAGCAGAGGGAAAGGATTACCTCCCTCAACCTGCTGGCAACGCTCTGCCTAATGCAGCCCAGGATACCATTGACCTTCTTTGCCACAGGAGCACATTGCCGGTTCACAGTCAGCTTTGTTGCCCACCAGGACCCCCAGGTCCTTCCCTGCAAAGCTGCTCTCCAGTTGGCCAGCCCCCAGCCTGCACTAGTGTGTGAGGTTATTCCTCCTCAGGTACCGAAAACTGTGCACTTCCCTTTGTTGAATTTCATGAGGTTCCTCTCCCACCTGTTGCTCCTGCCTGTTGAGGTCCCTCCAAATAGCAGTGCAACTAACCACTCTGTCATCCACTCTTCCCAGTTGTGTATCATCTGCAAACTTTCTGAGAGTGTTCTCTGTCCCATCATCCAGGTCATTAATGACAAGGTTAAACTGTACTGGCCCCACTAGTGATTGGTCTCCAGCTTGACTTTGTGCCGCTGATCACAACCCTCTGAGCCCAGTAGTTCAGCCAGTTTTCAGTGCACCTCACTGACCACTTAATATGCTACACTTAGACCACGGGTACACAAGATCTGTTCAAACTGCTTTTTTAGGGTGACGGATGGAAAGGTTAAAGTTAGTTTCCGGGTCAATAAGAACTCTGAATTCACAAATCAAACTTGACTAGGGAAAATGTTTTCCTAAGTAATCACGTAGCTAGACTAGATTTCCAAAAAACCTTACACCTTAAAAGGTCAGATAGTACTTTCTTGGCTATTGCTGAATGCTGATAAAATGTTGTGGCAGACCTCATCATTTAGTGTTTGCTAGTAGTATGATGCCTTTACTCACTGGAATTTCACAAGAACTCAGACTTCAACATGAGCTTGATGTAGATGATATAGAGACAAATATCTTTTTGTGAGCTTCAATGGGCACAAGCTTGACCTGATCTGATCTCCCACTCTGCACTGCCAGATTTGTCAGCATTGCATTTACGTGTGCATTTTGCACCAAACACACATACAGTACAGCTTCATATTTATGAATTACGTTCCAGCAACCCAGCTCTTTAGAGCTAAGAAGCAAGTCCTCCTGCCGCTGACTGAGAAAGACACCCAGAGCACAGCAGTACAAAGGGAGGGTTATGTCCTCAAATATATAAAGACAAGGGGAAAAATAGCAAGGGCATAACTACTAGGAATAAGGCTTTGCAGTGACTGCACTTTCTCAGGTGAGGCAGATTTAAGTGCTCAAAGATGAAAATTTGCTGGGCTAATCATGCAGATGTGGCATGGTAAGCAGATCAACTTTCTTTTCCTTCAAATTACAAAAGAAAATGTCCTTTTAAGCAAGGTGAACACATTAGTGTAATATGGTTTACTTGGGTAACTCAGAATTTTTTTCCTCAAAATATTTGCTTTATGAATGTTCTTTTCAAGTACAATCACTGCAATAAGCACAGCCACCTAGTTAGACTACAGTGTTTTTAAAACAACTGCTTCCTTTAAGAGTGACTTGATCTAATTTTCTTCTCATCCTGCGTTAAGTATCTCTGACATCAAGCATTACCATACCAGGCGCTGGAAGAGGCAGAACTGGAACAAATGCAAGTTCCCCCATGGCTACTGTCTGTCACTGCCTGCTTCTATATAAACAAGGACATCCAGCTTGAGCAGTGCAGGGTAGCCTCGCTGCTGCTTATCCTCCTTCGGGAGCAGCTGAGCCACTCAGGGACAGCTGAGAAGTTAACATAACAGATGACTACAAAAAAACACACACACCCCTATCCCATAGTGACTGACTCCTTAGCTGAACTCCCAAGTAAAGAAAGTACATCTACAAAAGGCAGAGATCTACCCTGAGCAGCCGAAATAGCAGTAATTGCTTTCCACCACATGGTGGAGATAGAGCAGGTCATTTATTTAACTCCTGAAGAGGCAATTACATTGCTATGCCTCCACCATGACACCAGCTCTAGTTTACTGTTCGAGATTTTTTTTCTTTATCAGTTCGAGTTACTATATTTTCAACATTATGATTTTTACTCAAAATTCAACTACAGGAATATTTTTATTTCCCCCTCCCTGTCTGAATGAAACAAAATACCCTTTAAGCAAGAGTGAAACTGAATTCACTGCCAGAGGAGGAGGTGAGAGAGAATAGGGCCAAAATTCTCGGGCCTGCTGGGTGTTCCAAGAAGGATACGCTATGAAAGATGAATACACAGTCCCTCCTTTAAAAGAGAAAGTGACCCTCCCTCACAGGTCACAGTTCTTCCTAAAATCCTTCCCAACCATCATTCCAACATTTCTAGAACAGGCTACGGTGAGTTCACCCTGGTTTGCAAGAGAATGATTAGAGTCATTTTTTAAAAAATTAGTAGCCAGTGCCTAACAGTGTGGAGTTGCAGGAAGAATTCCTGCTCAATGAAGTACGGACTCAGCTTTGGCATGGATAACAGAGCCTGGAGCACAATTTTTTGAAAAAAACATCTTTTGCTGTATTTACAGTCTGAACTTTATACTGAAGAGTAACCTGACCCTTTGCAATGCAGGCCCCAGTATGATAAAATATATACATAATTTCTTTTTCAAAAGAACATATGATACTGACTCTGTAGGCAGTCAAAATTCTAGGTTTCCCTGTCTATTCATTTCATGTTTTAAGGAGATGAGTTTTAACAATGTGAAAAGAAAGTACACGATCCCAGTCCAGGAAGTTCAAGTACTATTTAATATACTAGATGTAGAATTTTGGTAGTAGTCAACATACATACCTTTCATTTTCTGCATGTCAGGACTGGTTTTAGATAAGCTGACTAGGATAAACAGATTATTTAAAAAGAGCGAATACCAGACTGGCAGATAACCCAACTTCCATGCTCACCTTGTGTCTTTGAAACTGTTGCACAAAGAACCTTTCAAACCAGCAAGCAGTACAACCCAGGACTTTTTAAGGGTCCTGGAAAGCTCCCCATGAGCTGCGAGCACTGCACTGAGCCCTGCAGTTCTTTCAGACTGCCCGGTCTGACCAACACAGACTTGCTCACAGGCCTTCCTGTACTGGGGAGGCTGAAGCTCTAACACTGAGCAAACTCCATCACCGGCTG